TGTTTCTTGGTGGATTGCAAACAACTTATAGGTGCATACCGCCACCTACTGTACATGAGTGTGTAGCTCTATAATTGCACCTACTATATTCTATTTTTTTTTTATTTTTGTGTTATATAAAAATAAAAACAACCCTTCTAATAGAGGGTGGAGAAACTCCTTTAGAAATTAGATAGTTCAAAATAGCACTTTCATATTGGATCAGAATTAAAAGCAGTAGTGAAGAAAACCCAGCAGCAAGCATAATTAAGAACTGTTGGGAATATTCCAAACTTACAAGAAATGGCTTTGGCTGGACTGTGAATAAATGGGCAAAAATATATGAGTTGGATGATAAGAAATTCTCCAAAAATAACCCAATCTGTGCTGTAGGACCATACTTGTTTGCAGAAACAAAAGTTGACTTTAATATACATGAAATGAAAAGAGAATGGAACCATAATGAAGTTGGGTTTAAATTTAGCATATATATTAGACAATTGTATTATAGTTATTTAAAAATGTACACAGATGGTTCAAAAAATTCAAAGGGATATGTGGGAATAGGGATATTCATTCCATATGTAAAAGATTAACTGACCTTTTATCTATATACACAGCAGAAATGGTAGCAAATATTATTAGTTTACAGTGGGTGGAGAAGGTCAGACTGGACAGAGTGGTGATTTGCACAGATTCTAAAGCTGCAATAGAAAGCATTCATTCAGGAGAAAATAATAGGAAAGATTTTGTTCTAGAAAATAATTTAATTCAGTTTGTTTAGGTTATTTAGGTATGGAATAGATGTTCAGTTCTGTTGGGTTCCAGCAAACGGAGGGGTGAGAGGAAATGAAATAGCAGACAATATAGCTAAAAAGGCTTTAGAAAAGCAGAATATAGATCAGATTCCATTTGGGAAGGGGAAGGTACATCAATATTTAAAAAGAAAGAAACAGAATTATGGCAAAAGATATGGGATGAAGATTATAAAGGAAGAAGATTATATAGAGTAAAAAAGAAACGTAATTGTTAAAAATGATGGAGAAAGAAACAGAAGGGAAGAGATAATTTATACTAGATTAAGAACTGGACATACCTACTTGAATGAGTTTTTGTTTTTACTACGGAAGAGAAATAATACTTTATGTGAGGGTTGTGAAAGAAAAGAAAATGTGGATCATGTTTTGATGGATTGCATTAAATATGCAACTGAAAGAGGGAGGATGAGGAAAGTAATTATGGAAAAATCAAGAGAATGGAGTATTAAAGGAATTTTAGGGACAGATGGAGATAGGGAGGGAAATTTGGTTATTAATAAAGCATTGTTTTTTTTTTTTTTGCATAACACAAAAATAAAAACAGACTATAGAAGGTGGAACTATAAAGCTACACACTAATGTACTGTAGGTGGAAATGGGAGAAATGCCGTTAGATTTAAGAAGAACAAAACTAGAAATAAATATTTGGTTGAATTTAAAAGGTAATAGCTTAGATCATCCAACTCGGGAACTTTTAAATCCATGTTGGGAAAA